AGGGCTGAATAGACATTCAGGTTAAACAAAGATCTGTCTGCTATTGAGAGTCGTTTGAGAAGTTTGAAGGTCTCAATCAATTCCTCTCTCAGGCGTCGGCGGTGCAGAGAGAATAAGTCAAGGGCCGCTAGCCTTTCCTTGCAAGACTTGTCCTGCAGTCCACTGATCATCCGATTGAACCTTCTTGGAACTGCCTCAAGCAGTTGTTTATCCCTTACTAGGGGAGGGGCCCACGCCTGGACACAGTACTTCAGGTGCGGTCGCACAAAAGCCTTGTATAGTGGCAAAACTACTTTAGCCTCACTTGATATTACTGTGCGGCAGAGTTGGAATAAGGCTCTATTGGCCATCGCTGCAGCTGCCGCGCATTCTGATGAGGATTTAAAGGACGAGTGGATCTGCACGCCTATGTCCCTGATCGCATCGGTGGGTTCTAAGTCCTCCATCGACCCAGCGCCTAGATGAAGTACCTCCGATGCTCCTCTGTTCATCAGCAGGTGCCTGCTATTGCTGGCATTGAGTGGTAGCTCCCAGGTGTCCGCCCAGCCATGAGTTTTATTTAGGGCGTTCTGTAAGTCCCCCAATGCCGGGTTCCCTACTACTTTGAGGTCATCTGCGAATAGGAACCCGTGACACCGGAATACCTCGGTGACATCATTGACATACAGCACAAATAGTATAGGACCAAGGACTGAACCTTGAGGTGCCCCACTACAGACTATTGGCGTTCCCAAGGTTTCCTGTTTGACCCTTAATCCACTTCACTAACTGCTGGTCTATGCGTATGGCTTCCAGTTTGCGCAGGTGGAATCTATGGTTGACCGAGTCAAAGGCTTTTCTGAAATCGAGGTAGCACACTTCGACTCGGTCCCCTGCATTCAACCTTTCTGTTACCTCGTCCAGAAATGATAGTAGGTTAGCGAGGCACGACTTTCTGTTGATAAAACCGTGCTGTTGGTTAGCTATGAAATGCTGGTCGTCCAAATATCCCACAAGCCTCTTCCTGAGAAGACACTGGTAGGGTTTTAAGACAACCGAGAGCAGGCTTACTGGACTGTAGTTCGATGCAGCCGCCCTTGCCCCCCTTGTGGATTGGCACCGCCTCTGCTGTAGTCAAGTCGGCCGGCAGCGTAGCTGAAGCAAGCGAGCGGTTAAAAAGCTGAGTCAGTGCGCCGGCAATTATGTCAGTAATAGGCCGCAGGATTTCTGGGTGCAGTCCATCTGGACCCGCGGCCTTGCTCTGGTCCAGCTGTTTCAACGCTGCTTCTACCTCCCTCGTCTCTAAAGCAAATGGAGCCATGTTTTGGTCAGGGATCCTACCTAGGAGGTCTGATAACGGCCTTCCTAGGTCCTTCATGTGGACTTTCTCGAAGAAGCTCTTAGGAACTTCAGCCTTTTCCCTACTTGTGGTCGCACTAACACCATCTGCATTCACCACATTTCCAACGGCTACACGAGAGTGGGCCTTAGACTGCACATAGTTGTAGTAAGCTTTCGGTCGCTGGATGGCATTGCGAGCAATTCTACTCTCATAATCCTTCTGGCAGTGTCTTTGAATCTTA